GGAACCGGGCCCCGCCGGCCCGCCCCCGCCGCCCGCAGGACAGTTTGCACGGCGGGCAGACGCAGCCGATTGTCTGGAGGGACGTTCAGCAGACTCCGGGGCTGGGCAGCAGCCTAACAGAGACGCAAATGTCATCCTGGCCAAGAGCAGCAGGAGGGTACACGTAAAAACCTGTTGTCATGGCAGCACATCTCTATTCTGTCAGCTAAATGCATCTTCTTCCTTTCCTCCACTGGAGCGGATGAGGTTTTTCCTCAGGCGGACACCGCAGCATCGCGACAGGGTGCCCAGGGAGGGTGGGCAGCGTCCGTCCTCGGCGCTTTTCGGGACTCGGCGGGCTAAAGCCCCGCGTCACCCGGTTTGGCCTCACAGCCGACCCTGCTTTGAGCGGGAGGTGGGACTAGAGACCTCCTGACGTCTCTTCCAACCCAAACGATGCTATAGCCCTACGAATCTTCAGCTCTTCAGCATCGCAGAACCACTCAGGTTGGAAGAGTCTCAGCGTAAGTACCTCTACGGGTCTGGAACGCAGAGCCGTGGGTACGTCAGAGACGACACGGCAGCGGGATGCGTGGGAAGAAGGGCTCTGCCATCTAACCGGGAGGACCAATAACCGCACAAGCTAATTTCCACCAGTTCCCACCAAAGCTGCATTGCCAACGTACCAGCGGGACCCGAGCCACAACCATTTAACGAGGTTAAACCATTTAACGAGGCACCTATCCGGCGCCGCGCCTACAGAGCGGAGCCATTCCCAGTTACGCGGAGGCTCTTTGATTCCGCGCCACGCAGGTACGTAAGGGACAGGAGAGGGGAGCAGAGTGCAAACCGGGAAAGGGAAATGTTCAAAGCACCGACGGGAGAGACGAGGGGAGGCGTCCCCGCTGGACGGTGGGAGGAAAGAGAAGACTCGAGGATGAAGATGAGAACGGCCACATGAGAAAAACCACTGGAGGTGAATGGGAACGCAGAAACTAAAAAAAAAGAGATTGAAGCAAACAGCAAATCACACCTAACCCTGACAGAGGACGAGCGTGGTCCTGGTCGGAGCCTGACCGCTCGGTGGGTCTGCCCTCCGCAGAAGCGTCCCTGGCCCAAGAGCCGGTTGGAGCTCCCCAACTCACCTCCATCCAGCAGCAATTTGACCGTCAGGTAGTCATCAGCCAGTACTGCGTAGTGCAGAGCCGTGCAGCCCTTGAAATTGGCTCGGATGTTCAAGCGGTTGTTGAAGTCGTCCTCCCGGGTCACCAGGACTGCAGGGGAAGAAGAACGAAAGCTCAGCTCACCCAGACAACGTAAAGAACTGCCTGTCTGAACGCGCACCGGCAGCACGGACCATCGCCTCTGGTCTGGAAGGTTCTGAAGGGCCTGACGGCCTTTTCCAGGAGCCCATCAGGACGCCGGTGGGGGTTTCTGGTGGCTGTTGTCCCCACTCCACTGAGCAGCAGGGGAGATGAAGACAACACAGTTTCCCTAAATCCCGCTCACCACCTTCACAGCGCTCAGGCAGGGGAGGAGGTGGTCGGAGAGAAGACCTCTCAGCCTTGTTCCAACCACAGCCTCTTTGCACCTTCAAAGTGCAATCAGGATTCAACAGGACCAAGCAATGCGGAGACTTCTGCCTCTTTTTTCCCCCTTTTCCTGTCCAGAAGGGCCAGAGAACCATTCAGTGCGTCCTCCGCACTACCTCCCACCTTCCCCCCACCCAGCCAAAACCCGACCCCAGCTGCCTGCGTCTACTTCGGGCTGGAAGCACAAAGCACCAAAACCTACAAGCCACAACCAAGAGAAAAGAGCCGGAGAGGCTGAGGGACGACGGCGCCGCAGGTCCTCGGGGACAGCAGCCGGCTGGGAACGCCCGCGGATCTCCTCGGAGTCACGCTAAGCTTCCCGTATCACACCATTGCTCCCATTGCTCACGTGCCCATCTCCTCCAGGAGCTGCCTCCTCCACTCCACACTTCCCAGGAAGGGGAAGAAGTAGTTATTTAAAAGCCGGAACTCTTCCAAAATACTTCCTCTGTGCACTAGAAAGTCCTACGGGTTACGGAGCGGCAGAGCACGACGCTTGGCTCCCTTCTGCTCTACCTGCGTGCCACCTCCGGGCTGGCGCTGGAACCGGCCGTTCTCTGGGACTTTGAGTTTTCATGCCGTGTTTGCTCAGCCACAGGCTGCTCCGCGAGGTGTATTCCTCAACGCTACCGCGATGGGAATAATTCCGAAGAAGACATTTTACCCCTCACTAGAGAGCCCGGAAGCCCCCGAGCACATGCGGTTACACCGAGCCTTGAGACGTTTTGTGAAATCGGACCTAGAGATCGCGATGTTTCTTTGAACAGAAACCGATGCTTCCTAAAGCTGATTCATTAACATTTTTTTTCTTCCCTTGGGCTCTGCTCCCGAAGGCCAACACGCAGGGATACCCTGCGAAAGGACAAGCCTCGCGCTCGCCGCCCAGAGCAAAGCGCGTCCCCAGGAGGACAGGAGAAGGACGGTGTGGTGAGACAGACACGCCGGAACACTCAATCTTCCAGATCGGGTGCAAACTCAGAGTCTGGACCGCAAAAAGCTGGAAGGTCGGGGAACGCATTACATCAAACTGACGTACGGAGGCAAAGGAGGGAATATCCTCCCAAGGCGAGAGAAACCCTCTCCCGATGCTCGGAGCGGAGGTGACCCCAGGAGACAGGAGGGAAGCTGCGACAGGAGAGGACGCTGCCCCACCATCGCCCGGTTTTCAAGCAAATCGCTAATTCTGGAGCGCCCGGCAGAGCACTCCGGCACTTCCCGGCCAGGGAAGGCTCGGCAGCACCGCCACGCTCCTGCGGCTGCTCCGAGGGTCAGGCGGGAGGACACCTCCCGGCTCGGAAGCCCTTCACGCTGGTCATCAGCAAAAACGAAGAGTGGAAGAAAGAGCGGCTCTTTTTAGGTACGGAAGGAAATGACGATACCAGGCTGTCGGCCAGCCAGGGAGGGAGACTTACAGGAGCAGAGGTGGAATCTAATGGGGGCCTATGGGAGAGCTGGGGAGGGACTTTCACAAGGGCATGTAGGGATAGGAGGAGGGGGAATGGCTTCAAACTGGAAGAGGGGAGATTTAGATGAGATGTGAGGAAGAAATTGTTGGCTGTGCGGGCGGTGATCCCCTGGGGCAGGTTGCCCCGAGAAGCTGTGGCTGCCCCATCCCTGGAGGTGTTCAAGGCCAGGTTGGACGGGGCTTGGAGCAACCTGGGCTGG